CCTCAAAGCACGTGCATATTGACCATCCAAATGTACTTTGTACTTCAATGCACAATGCTATTAAACATGTCAAACGGGAATGATTTGTAGGGATCAGTTCTCATATTTGTGAATTAATAAACAGATTGGGCATGTTGGGTAATGAAGCCGTATGAGAAATATCGGGCTTCCAGGAAGCTTTTTGCAAAGTAAGGAAATTGTCAGTGTTTTGGGGAGCATTGAGTTAATGGCTAAGGATAGGGGGTAGTCCTGTGGACTGGCCCTAGTTTGGGGCAAGGCCGAGGGTACACTAAAACACATGTATGCTCACTCAGTTTTAATGTGGGAATTAAACGATTGTATCATATCAGTTTTAAGCCAGCATTTTTGCACTGATTAAAAAGAAAACTGAAGTCCACAACAGACCAACTGTTCTTTACAGAAACACCCCAAGACATAGCAAAACTCATTTTGGGGAAGATACATGAAATTTGAATGTCGTTGCATACAGAACCATCAAACATCAGGAATCAGTTAGGCCTACAGGGTAGTGCCTTACTGTTCAGGAAGTAGGGCCTGGCAATAAAAGAATCATGAGCATGCCTAGGCCTAGCCCAGGTTGGATGTGGTTTTCCTTACACTACGACTGACGTTCACTTAGGGTAGTAAAAAGTCCTCCTACAATGCGGATTTTTTTTTACCTTTTTGTCACATTTTTACCTGGTGAAGACAGCTCAAATGTTGTGCACAAGTGCCTTGTATCCTGAATTCAATAAATGCTGTTTTGAAATTACTAAATACGCCCATGGCCACGTGTGGACAACGTATTTTGCAGAAAATTCTGCGAAACTCCACGTAACGCTTACCGTCACGATTCGTGAGTGACCTACGTTCGTCTGGTAGTACGCATTGGCACATGCGTGAAATGGCCCCCAAGCTTGGCCCACATTCTGTCAGTTATGTTGTCTAGAGCTAGGTCTAGGTCTTCGCTCCATTTGAAATGCGCGGAGACGCGCAGACAACAGCCTAGCCGTAGCCGTATCTTTGGAGGTCCGTTTGGACACAGCCTTATCTGCGACTTCTTCATCACACCCACAGCTCTTCCGCGCATGCTTAAGGGGCAGTCATTAATACTATGCATTTCGTAGATCATTAGGCCCTAACGAATTGCGACGGCAAGCGTGGAGTTTCGCAAAGTTTCCTACAAAATACATTGTCTACGGGCGTATTTAGTAATTTCAACACAACATTTATGGAATCTGGGATACAAGGCACTTGTGAACGACATTTTGAGCTGTTTTTGCCGGGTAAAAATGTACCGCTGAAAAAAATTTCGTACTGTAGGAGCATTTTATACCTGTATACCCTGGACATTAGTCGCAATGCAATGTAGACGACGTCCAACCTGAGCTGGCCTAGGCATGCTACTCCCAGAACTGTGGGGTCCAACGTCCGCTCCTCTCTGGGAGAAGACCCCACAGTTCCGGGGTACTGTAGTGGACTTGCTAGGCCCTACTCAGGACGCAACATTCTTTCCCAGACATACAGCTCTGTTGTCTCCTTACCTCGACAAAATATTCGACAACATATCTCAACAGAAACGTAACTTTGAACTCTGTGAAGCACAGCTCATCAACTTCGTACTAAAATAAACTATTTGGGACGTCGGTTCCGTAGTACTCTGAACACGTGAACTGTGACCATCTGAGCAAGCTGAGGTGTTAAGCGCCCTCCACAGTTCAATTAAGGCCAACCTTTTGGCGGTTTCGGCGAGGGCCGGAGACTTTGCGAAGAGGGGTAACGTTTTCTTTGGGGCAGATAAACACAAAGAATTCACTTCTCTTCTTGTTTTGTGTCTTTGAGTTATTTATTGCTAGGTAAAGCTTGTCACTTTTGTCTCGTCTGGCAAACGACACCTTCTTGAAAAAACAGTTCTATTTCAAACCTGCGATAAGGTGGGCTTGGACTACCTTGCCTCCAGGCACACAGCCCCCGTCACTTCAAAGTCAAACTTACTTCGGTGATATTTTCTATTCGCTTCCCATCCTAGTTTATTCTAATGGATTACAATCTTCGCAAATACAAACGTCTCAACCTTGGCTACCAATTTTTTCTTTTAGACCTTGACCCGCATTTTTTTTAGTCTTCCTCCTTTTTACAGTGCCGCTGCGTGCATGGATGGGCGTCAGCGCCCTCAGATTCAACCTGCCACGTCCTTAATCTGCCTATAACCTACCCTCCCTTAGTAAATCCTTTGTCTGGCGGTACGGTGCGGCCCTCGCTGCTCGTCCCTAGGCGCTCGGAATCAAGGTCGTTGGACAAGTCTTTGACCTCCACAGCTGAATATTGCGTGCTGCTCCGAATTTTATCTCTCCCGTCATCGTCCTCCAGTTCATGTCGTGTGTTCCAAGTGAACATTTCTTGCCTCCTGTCTTGCGTCATCATTGACCTTTCCGGCACTTTTAACTCGAACGGATCAATCAAATCCCGGTCATGTCCTCGTCAAAAGGGACACGGACACTTAAACAATGTATCTCCAGCTCAACTACGAAATTAGTAAGGGGGCAGGGGGCAACTTGCCCCCGATGGATTTTTTCTTAACTAAGAATACTTCATAGGTGAAAAGGAAACCTATAACCTATCAAAATATTAGCACTACCTAAAAAAACATAACACCAACTTAAAAAGCAAAAATGTCGGGACCATGAGTAACGCTTCTCAATCTCCCCCAACATCATGTTGAATAAGCCCGAGCTGCATTCGGTTCTGACTTTCCCCCACCTCATCGACACCAAAAGCTGGAAACGCCGCTGCTCCTTGGCACCAACTCCGATCTTTTCCGTCTTCTTTCGCAATTCCCTGGAAAGCCATTTATGAACAGCCCAGGAGCAAGAAGCAAGGGGGTGTTCATAACGTCTTGCTTTCGTTTCCAGTTCTTCACCATCTCAACATTTCAGCTCATCGCCGATGGTGAGAGAACACTCACCCATCTCTTCACTTTAAATTTGTGCCCACATCCAGAGACGCTAATGGACACCATTCCCTTTTCTCCTTCCATCCCCTGTAACGTACAGTGTTCCCCCTCTTATAAAATGATTTCATTATTCATTTATCAATTTGTTTTCGCTGATTTTTTCCCCTCTAAGTGTCTCTTTCGGCCAACGTTCCTCGTTTAATGATTTTTTTTAGTATTCTTTTTCTATCTTTATCTCCGGCTAAACTGATTTTCCAAAGTACATTTTCTGTATCCCGTGTCAGGCTGTACCAGCTTTCAAGAATTCCACTAAAACTGTTATCGTGGCAAGATTATTTGGTAGTTAGTACATGAGCGTTCAAACTAGCAAAACACTAGGACTAACAAGTAATTTTTGGCTCTCGATGTTACTTAATTATACTCTAAAGTAAAGTGACAGAACAAAAGTATGGATCATGGGGCGGATCTACGATTTTTTTTAGGGGAAGGGTCTGGAAATTAGTTTGTTCGTATAAGAGAATGAAGCAAAGTTGTTTTGTCCTTAACCGTACACACAAAATAAGACCCATGTTTAGCAAAAGGTGACTAAAAATTCCAAAAAGGCAATGAGCGGGGTTGCCCCTTCCCCGGCCATCCGCGGCCCTGCAGTTTGCGGTAAACTTCAACCTAGTACCTGTACGTGCTGTGTCGTCAAGACCCAAAATACATGCCGCCGGCTGCCGCAAATATTTTGGGTAACGACTGCTGCGCAGTCAAAGTAAGCGATTATGAGTCTCCTCCAGCAGTATCAAGGTAATTGTGTACATTATTTCAAATGATTGGAATGAAATCAACCAGCAGCAGCACTTGACTTCCTTTACATGTATGTTGGGCACCATCGGCCGATCTGCACCGTGCGCGGTCGCTCTACGCCCTGCTTAGACCATGACAAACTTACATGTAAGTTAGGCCTATCCTTCACGAAATCTCCAACTTTAACTTTCCTTTTTGAAAACAATCTTTCCACATCCGCTAGTTAGAAAGAAAAGGCGATTGGCTGATAGTGGAGTTATCGATTAATTGTCTGATCAAGCAAAGATCGAGTAGTGGCGCCGGTATATATAAATAAGTTAAACCAGGTATTGGGTCTACTTGCGTGTTTTCACATGGTTCACGCAATGGCAATGTAGCTCATTGCACGGTTGAAATGTTCAGTTGGACCGAGGGTACATAGGCCTACACTTAAGCCTAGCCTATGCAAACACTAGTGATGCCAGGAGCAATGTACATTGCTGTTTCACAACTACAGATAAAACAGGCTCATACCAGGGTAAAAATCTCACCATTGGTAGAAAAAGCAGGGCATGATTTATTTACTTGATTATTATTTTTTTAATTACATTATCCATGATTATATTCAAACAAGATTGTTTCAAGTTAATTCCTAAAAAGTAAAAGTGCCTGTTAACATGAGGAAAAACAATTTGTAGGTTCACCCCATTTTCAATTAAATACATTTGAAGAAAGGAGAGCATACCAATGTATCATTANTTAATGGACACCATTCTCTTTTCTCCTTCCATCCCCTGTAACGTACAGTGTTCCCCCTCTTATAAAATGATTTCATTATTCATTTATCAATTTGTTTTCGCTGATTTTTTTCCCCTCTAGGTGTCTCTTACGGCCAACGTTCCTCGTTTAATGATTTTTTTTATTACTCTTTTTCTATCTTTATCTCCGGCTAAACTGATTTTCCAAAGTACATTTTCTGTATCCCGTGTCAGGCTGTACCAGCTTTCAAGAATTCCACTAAAACTGTTATCGTGGCAAGATTATTTGGGAGTTAGTACATGAGCGTTCAAACTAGCAAAACACTGGGACTAACAAGTAATTTTTGGCTCTCGATGTTACTTAATTATACTCTAAAGTAAAGTGACAGAACAAAAGTATGGATCCAGGAATTTTTTTTTTTTGGGGGGAAGGGTCTGGAAATTAGTTTGTTCGTATAAGAGAATGAAGCAAAGTTGTTTTGTCCTTAACCGTACACTAAAAATAAAACCCATGTTTAGCAAAAGGTGACTGAAAATTCCAAAAAGCGGCAATGAGCGGGGTTGCCCCTTCCCCGGCCATCCGCGGCCCTGCAGTTTGCGGTAAACTTCAACCTAGTACCTGTACCGTGACGTGCTGTTCCGTCAAGACCCAAAATACATGCAGCTGGCTGCCGTAGATATTTTGGGTAAAGACTGCTGTGCAGTCATTCCCCCGAATTCCGGGTGGGCTGCCTTTCTCCGGGGGGGGGGGTCAACGCTTGCAGGGCTAGCTAGGTACACGTGTACGTTACAAAGGTGCGGTACACGTGCGCAGCTTACTATCCAGTCACCAAGCGCAAACCAAGAGCAGAGGGCGTTCTTCATGCATCGTGCCCCGCACATATCATGCACATCGTATTTCGATACACAAAGCCATACTTGCAGCACGGTTTTTGAAACGTCAAAGTAAGCGATGATGAGTCTCCTCCAGCAGTATCAAGGTAATTGTGTACATTATTTCAAATGATTGGAATGAAATTAACCAGCAGCAGCACTTGACTTCCTTTACATGTATGTTGGGCACCATCGGCCGATCTGCACTGTGCGCGATCGCTCTACGCCCTGCTTAGGCCTAGACCATGACAAACTTACATGTAAGTTAGGCCTATCCTTCACGAAATCTCCAACTTTAACTTTCCTTTTTTGAAAACAATCTTTTCACATCCGCTAGTTAGAAAGAAAAGGCGATTGGCTGATAGTGGAGTTATCGATTAATCGTCTGATCAAGCAAAGATCGAGTAATGGCGCCGGTATATGTAAATAAGTTAAACCAGGTATTGGGTCTACTTGCGTGTTTTCACATGGTTCATGCAATAGCAATGTAGCTCATTGCACGGTTGAAATGTTCCGTTGGACCGAGGGTACATAGGCCTACACTTAAGCCTAGCCTATGCAAACACTAGTGATGTACATTGCTGTTTCACAACTACAGATAAAACAGGCTCATACCAGGGTAAAAATCTCACCGTTAGGAGAAAAAGCAGGGCATTATTTATTTACTTGATTATTATTTTTTTAATTACATTATCCATGATTATATTCAAACAAGATTGTTTCAAGTTAATTCCTAAAAAGTAAAAGTGCCTATTAACATGAGGAAAAACAATTTTTAGGTTCACCCCATTTTCAATTAAATACATTTGAAGAAAGGAGAGCATACCAATGTATCATTCTTGAAAGCATGTTGCAGTATTTTCTCCCCACTGAAGACATTCAATCTAGCTTAGGCTGATAAATTCACAACTAGAGCTTGAAGTATGGGATATCTTTCAAAAGTAGTAACCTCAACCTCTACCATATAACTAAATAGTTGGTAACTTTAAGCCTTGGATGTGCTTTGAGTGTTTCACTAATGTAGCATACCTTTTGTTTTCTTTGTTTCCACTGCATTTACCGGGAACTTTGCTGCACTGATTTACATCGACTAAATGTGCTCTTTCCCACTCCTAGAAGCCGCAACATGGTAAGCAGCTTAGAACCTGATCTCTGCTGGACTAAATCAGGGCGAGAACTTCATAGGGGCATCGGAGGCAATCCCCTTGATGCCCCTAGTCTTTGCCTCAATGCCCATGTAAATGTCCCCGTAGACAAGATGATTTTCTAATACAAGTGCCATTTGCAAATGAGAAGTTGCCTTGCCCTGTCAAGAACAAAGTTCCTGCCCCGCTAATTGCACTATGAATTACAACAGAAATAATCCTACTTAGTTTCTAAAGACACCTACTATACTTTGGATGGGATTCCTAATTTCACACTTCCATATTTTTTATTACATTTTTCTCTTGAATGACACTCTATAAGCTAAAGCTACATGGGTTGTGCATTCTGTTTAAGGTAATAGGCAAGGCTTAGTCTCATCGTTTCAAGAGAAATGGATCATCATGGTAGACAGACGCATACCCCTTCCTCCCCTAAATCTGTTTGCAATCTTCATTGAAATTACCAGCAACAGTTGCTCAGTTTCTTACCAAACAGGTCAAAATGCAACTTTGGGCAGTTTTTCTCCCACAGGGGTTCAACTTTACCCACACTAATTATCCAGCAATTGCAGTAATTTCACATTAATTGTTATCTAGGCCTGTCCAACAAAATGTAACTTCACACTTGTGGGTAAGAAAGAACACTGCTCAATTTTTTCACCAGAAGTTTCAAATTACATCTGTCCTTAGCCCTGGGAGATTATAGGTGGGGTTGTAAACAAAATCTTTGCTCCTATCTTTCCTCTTATATGTAGTAATTTTAACCTACTACACAAGGCTAGTTCCTAAATCCTCTGTATTACTTTTCCCTTGGAAGGTTGGCATCTGCCGCTGAAGAGTGCCAGAAGACCAGTAATGTTGACTTACAGCATCTCATCACTAGCTGTGAGAACTGCAAGATGTTGGTAGGCAGAGTGAAGGAGATGGACACCAATGCAATCAGACAGGTCTAGTTGCTTTGCTTTCTTGTAAAAAAACTTTCAAGGAACATTGATGCTGGGAAAATATCCAGTGTAGTTCCAGCTGCCAAATTTTGAACAGCAGCCAAAGGTTTAGTTGAGTTCACAGTTCCTTTTTCTATGCATTGCAACAAACAATTGCTTTCCTGCCAGTTGCTCAGGACTACAATCAAAGTTGTTGAATATTGGCCATTTGGCCTGACCAGAGATGAGGGGAGGGGTTTGTCATACCCACAGGTGGAACATTTGGCACTGTGAACGCATGTTTTTATACAAAGGGCTCTCATAATGTGTTTGGAACACAACATTAAATGGTATAACATAATTTAATAAAAAAATAATTTTATTTAAAAAACAAACAAACACCACCAACAAGCAAACAGAGTGGATTTTAATTCACTTTGAGAGCATTACATATGCATGTTCTATTTTTCACTCAATAAAGAACCGAGTTAGCTACATGTATTTCTATGTGAACTGATGAACAGGCTGCCTTGCAACAACTGGATATCACCCTGAATGACCATCTTGAGATATTGAGAGCTAAGAAGGATCAGCTGGATGCAGGAGGAGAAACCAGCAATAAGAGGAAACAACAGAAAGATGAGAAAAGTGAGTGCCTGAAAACACAATATTGAGAAGATGGTGGAACTCAATACAGTGTGAGTGTGTACCAGAGTTGTTGACTCGAGTTGTGCGACTTGGACTCGAGTCAGTATCTTGAGTAATTTTCTTTGTAACTTGTTATTTGGCTTGTGATTACCAGCTTTGACATGTGACTTGACTTGGACTTGCTAAAAAAGTTGTATGGGGCTCTGCCAAATATCTTAATATTCGATCGATTATCATATATTCAAATATTGGTTTCTGAATTTGAATATTCAAATGCAAAATTCATGAAAAGAACGCAAGAATTTTCATATTAGACCTGTCAATTTACACCTTGCGTGCAGTTTTAAAATCAGACTTCCTTAGACTCGCAGTTTCAACTCCTTTTGAGTCTGTCTGGTCTGCCTCTTTAAGCTGGACAAATAAATGTGCAACATGACTTGATTTAGACAAGAGACCTGTGGATTGCCTTGTGTCTGGACCAAATGACTTGTGACTGGACTTAAATGTCTAAAAATGATTTGTTACTTAACTTGGACTTGCAAAAAGTGACTTGCTGCCAAGTCTGGTGTGTGCTAGGCTCAGTGAGAGAGTCATATTGCTAGTAGGAACTCCTCCTAACACCTGCCCCAGTCCCATTGACTCCTGCAATCCATCTATCAACCTCTATCCCATTCCAGCATTGTTGTATTCTCAGCAACTCGGCAGGAGCAACTGATGCAAGTGTTACAAAGCTGATTATCAGACTGAGAAGGCAAACCCACGTTGTGATAGCATTATTTTGCTTGACGTAAATGCACGTCCGTAATTGTATGAAGAGCAGAGCATGGACATTTCATTTTTGAAAATAACAAAATGCCAACAAGACTTCCCATCCAGGTTCTACTTGTCTTTGTTGTTTTCTCCATACATTCCCCTGAATCCCGTCCATTCCCACTGTGTACACACCAAGCTCCCCAAGCCCCTCCCCTTCTTCCTATCTTCCTCCATGCATCCATGTTTATGTGTCACTCGTGGCTCATATCCCAATGTCTCCTAGTCATTCAGTCCTTGAAAAAGAACTTAATAAGGTCCACCCCCCCAAATCTGCTGATCAGTCACCAGATAGACAGGATGAAGAACTTAAATCCTTCCTAAAACTGTTTCAAAAAGTTGTTTTTGTCACTTAGGGGCAGGATTATTTGGCTTTCCAAATTGATGGAGGCATTTCAATTTCTTGTTACTCCAGCAGCAGATGCAAGAAGCACAGACACCCACTCCCAGAGCCGTACATTAGCCATAGAGGATACCATTGTTAGGAAGGGAACTGTGAGCTTCAGTGATGTGGCTGGTCTGACACAGGCTAAACAAATCCTAAGGGAAGCCATCGTCATGCCTCTGCAGTATCCTCAACTGTTTACAGGTAAAGCAGCTTCCACACTTAAAAGTGATTTGAGAATTAGGGTTAGTTGCTCGGTATACAAGCAACAAAGAAGTGAATTTTCCGCAACATCAGGACTGCGTACATTTCAGTTTTACTGCAAATGTTTTGAAATGCTCATTTCATTTTCCTCTCCTGTGAAAAATGTTCCGGCCACTGAGGTGTATCGAATTGATGTTTGGGGAGGGAAGTTTTTATCTTTCCATCCAGAACGTTCTATTTTTAATTCAAATCCATTGTAAATATAATGTGTTCTAGTTCAAAAGAACTATGATTCAGGGCCAGTTAACTGAGGGGTATGGTTATGCACTCATTATAAAGTGCATGTAGGTCTTAAAGTTACTCACGTATGCAGCTTCAAAGTTCAATATTCTGTGACGTTTTGCTGGTGGTAGGGTTTTTAAGAATTTTTTTTTATTTTTAAAGGAAAGTTTCACCTGACCATCTCCAGGACTAAAGCTTCTGAAATGTATCCATGTACATTAAATGATGACACTTAAGTAGCCTTGAGAAATGACAACCTTGTACCTTTTTCCACAAGGTGCCAGGAAACCATGGAAACGCATCCTTCTCTATGGTCCACCCGGTACTGGCAAGTCAAGGCTGGCCCAGGCTGTGTCATCAGAAATCAGCTCCACATTCTACTGTGTGTCTAGCTCTGATCTAGTCTCAAGCTGGGTTGGGGAAAGTGAAAAGTATGCTGGAGTTTCCTACCATGCAACATAATTCAAATTAACATTTACCCTCTTGAAAACCATTTGAGCTGATTACTAAGTACTGCTGTCTCACTCTGCTTTGGAAAAATAATCGTCTTTGGTCAGTAAGTACAATAATCAAACATTTCAGTTATTTGAAACTAATACTTGAAAAAGCAAAGATCCTTTTGTTCTGATGTTAAAGTTTTCCAAAGTTTCAAAGGGCAATTTTCATGATGTTAAAGGAAGTTTTTGGTTAGCCTTTTTTCAGTGTTGTCATCAGGAAATTTCAAAGTTACTTTATCATGTCATGTTTCTTTATCCAAGATTAATCAAAGAGCTTTTTGTGCATGCCACACAACAAGAAGGAAGATCGGTAAGTGAAACTCTTGATACCCTAAATCAGCATTGTCAAATGTCTGGAAGGGGTTTGATGTCAGAATATCAGTAAATTTGTAGAACTCAAGAATGGGTGTTATAGGCAGCAGTGTTGGAGTCATGTCCACCACCTTTGAGTCGGAGGTCGCCAAGGCCGAGACCAAGTCACTGCCATTCGAGGCCAAGGCCGAGGTCACAACCTCCGAGGCCAATTATTACACACATACACCTATAACATAACCACTTTTTGCACTGTTGGCTGGCACAGGAGATTCATCCAGATCCACATAACACTGTTGTACATGACACGACAATCTCCCCAATTATTTAGTCTAAGAAAACCAAGTGCTGTGATAAGTTACTTTCAGTTTAACATTGTAAACAACCTGGTAAACAAATCCAAATGGGCATAATTACCTCTTGTTTGGCAGGTGTTGCAAAGTTCAATTTTTACTTTTCTTTCAACAAAGTATAAAAACAGAGTCCCCAACATCACAAAAAGAGAAAATATAAAAACTAATTGCTCTAAATACTTACAATTCCCAACAAAATAATTTCTCAATATTTTCAATTTTAAAAACAAGATCGCAAGGCGTAAATACAGGCTATTCATTCCAAAACAAAATCAAGTTTGACGTTCACAGATAGTTGCACAGTTGCCAAAAAAGTCTTACAACCAAATACATTTGTGAGTGAATGTAATTATTTACATTTGTGAGTGAATGTAACTATTTTTCTACAAGAAATGAAAGAAAAAATCAGGAGTGCTTCCGAAAATGATACTCGGCCGTTTTCCTAGTTCAGGGTCACAAAAATTAATTCAGTCAGACTGCAGCTACAAAAATCCTCAAATTGCGGTGAAATGTGGTCAGTAGTCCACCTTGTGTGTTGGAGATCCTGGTACTACCAAGTTATTTGCAAAATCTTTGCTTTTAATTTGAGCTTAGAGGATCAACGAAAGTGACGACACTTTTCCTATTCTACTTCTGGATCAGTTTAACATGTTGCAGATCGCAACAAAAACTTCTTCACAAATAAAAAGTTACCGTGCTAGAAATCCATTTTGTACCCAGAACCACCATAACAAGCTGATATTCTAATGAAGAATATCTTGATTTAGAGACATTATTTAAAAAAACATTATTTAAATAATGAATAAGAATTCCAATGAATTAAAAAGTAAAACTTGCGTAAATTTTGATTTGACTTTTTCAGCTATCAACGATACTATCCCCCACGCGTACGCCAAACAGTTGATGAACTCATTAACTCACATACGTTTCTGCTACGTCTGTGTAGTTGACTTGCAACGTATGGTATTTGCGTGCAGATAATAAGTGATGCGATACTAGGAAGAAACATGCGTTCAGTTTTTGGCCAATTTTAAACAAACAAAAACTGTACAAGTTACTTTGATTACACAGACATTAGATGCAAAAGTTTCTGTGACTGAGTATGAAAAAAAGTATTTGGAATCACGCGTAGTGAGTGACCTATTGCCGTGTAAATTTTTGGTGATTTTTTTGGCTCACATGATTTTGGTCAAGTCGTTCAAAAATGTCAAAGAGCAAATCAGAAATCTGGCCCAAATTTCTTCCTAGGAATTTTCTGATATTTGAGGGATTTCGCATTAGCGCCGTCTGCGCAGATCCGCATCGAAACCAAGGCTCTCTGTGTTGAACTTCATCGCGCGCGCCAGTGGAGTCGACACAGTACATGCAGTATCCGGTTCGTAAGTGTGACGCCACTCCAGTTTAAACCACGCCCACTTCACAAGATACACGACCATTGCGGGTACGTTAGTTCGCGGTAAATTGTCGTTATTTTTTCTTTTGATTATACGTGTCGAGTCATCCTGAAAGGCTCTACCACAAAAATTTGCAGCCTGAAAAGTCTGAATTTAACAAACCTTTATGTCTTTGTGTCTTGACTCCTTACTTTCAATTGTCTGATTGTATTAAGAATTGAAACTGACACATACAGCCTCGTTTTCAAACGCGGAAGTGCGCAGATCGACGCTTAAAGCATCGTATTGGGATCCCTCTATAAGCTTTGTACAAGAAGCCTACACTTCACCTTTCATGCAGAACTAAGATTGGAATGTAGAACTGAAGAACAACACAAACAAGATAGGTTTTATTTCAAGTGATCCGGAAGTAGGAAAGATCCTAAAACGACTGCATGTAATAATTTCTTGAAAAAGCACTAAAAATGGCACTCTATGCTAACCATGAGGCCAGCCTTGAGACCTCCAACACTGATGGGCGGGTGTTATGGGCCTATTACAGGTCAACAGGGTCATGTGCAGTCAGCCCAAGGTTCCTTCCTAATTGATAAAAAAAGTCACACTAAGACAGGAATGGTATGCGACTGTAAATAGAATTATTTTGCCTTTCATGTTGTCTGTTTAAAGAAATGGTCAGTGTGGATCATTTCTTAAAAACTCTGTGTCAAGTGATAAATGTTGTTAAACTCAAATTCCTCTGGACTTAGGTCCAAAGTGAGTGCCCTTTATGTAAATATAGATCAGAAAACAGTGCTTGCTAAAAATCTGAATTTGAATGATGTCACAGTGTGTCTCCTGATACTTCATGAAATCAGGCATGCAAGTGGACAGCATCCTGCAGTTGGTTGTTCAAGTTATCTACAAGTACCACTATTTTAGACCTCTTAAAGTTGGCCCTCTTGTCGCTCCACAGGTCATCTTCATTGATGAGATTGACAGCATCTGTCGCATCCGCAGCTCCCGAGAGGAGGAGCACACCAGACGCATCAAGACCGAGCTCCTTCGCCAGATGGAGAGTGCCGACAATGGCCGGGAGTCAGAACAGTTCTTCTTGCTGTGTGCCACCAACAGGCCTTGGGAGCTAGACACAGCATTCCTAAGACGCTTCCAGAAACGAGTCTATGTACCCCTTCCAGACAGGTTGGCCAACTTGTTTTTCCCCTTAGTAGAAACTGGTGTAGATTCACAGTTACACATAGGGCATATTAAATCACCAATACAGCCAAGTTTTGTTAACCCATATGTCAGGATTGTAACATGACGGCAAACATCATTAATGGCCACAGTGTATACCTGACCCAGTGAGACAAACTCAGCCGCACTTTGTCATGTTTGAGTTAGAGGCCTTCAAGTGAATCTTGTGCAACTAAATTTCAAGGAACTCTCAACAATGTTGTCCCAACATAATGAACATTTCATCAAGATGCCAAAACTATGTGATCCGTCATAACAAAGATTTCACTTTGCTCTTTCAAATGCAAACTAAACGATATTAATTTCAAAAAGGCTGTCAGACTCAGTTTTCTAAAGACACAGGTCATGGGAGTTACCTGTCAGTCACTGAGAACACAGTTTTTCCAGTGCATTTGAATGGAATGAACCTCAAGTCCTTATTGGATGTCAATTTCTTTGCTTTTTGGGGGATCAGTTTTGTGTTGATCATCTTAAAATTAAAGCACATTAAACAGTCACTGATCAAAATGTGTTATACTTACATTTGGTTTTTTATGAGTAATTCATGCTGAATGGTTTGAAAATCAAAATGGTATTGTTTTCTCGTAACCTACATTCTTTACTTCAGAGAAGCCCGTATTGCTATCCTCAAGATTCACGCGTCTTGTAACCTGACTCTCAGTGACTCAGACATACAGGCTTTTGCTGACCGCACTGAGGGTTACTCTGGGAGTGACCTATCCAATGTCATCCTGACAGCCCTCTTTGAACCAATCAGGGACATCCAGACAGCAACCCACTGGATGAAGGGAATCGGTGAGTTATCTAATGGTGAAGAGCACATGCTCAGGCCTGCATGAGTGCATCTCAACTTGATAGCCTAGAGCTGAAATACACTACTCCGTATGATAGTTACTTGAACGAAAACTTGCAGGACCTGCATCTTGATGTGTTTTGGCAATCAAATATAACCACCTCACTCAGTAGCCTAGTTGATTTGGCATTGTTCCAACAATAAGCCATGACACAGAATATTCCCAGTCCATCCAGATGAGATGCTGCTTTACTGAGGCAACCCTTACTGTCTGCTCACTAGGTTTTCCTTAATATCAAATAAAAACAAATTGTCAGTATTTTGTTGTGAGTCCATCATGTTTGCTGGTAATAGCTCCATCCTATGAAGGTTACTATTTTCTTGAGAAAGACAGTNGACTGAGTTGGGGTTTACATCTAGCCGAAGTGCACCCCCCCCCTAATACATTACACACAGCTTTAGCAACTGTCTTGCTATACACACCAACCAGGGGTCCATTCTGTGAAGTAAATACAAGAAATTCTTGTGTCTTTAGATGGTAAATTCACACCTTGTGATGACGATACTCCTGGCTGTATACAGACAACTATGAGCGAGATCCAGTCGGACAGGGTCAAGCCCAGAGACGTGACCCTCAGTGATTTCATTCTGGCCTTGCAGTCTTGCCACCGAATTGTCACAGCAGATGAACTCAAACAATTTGAAGCCTTCACCAGCCATTTTGGACAAACAGGATAAGTCAATCCTGGGTTTTCCATACACATGTAGTTTTGGATTTTGTATAGAATAGATGTTCATTCACCAACTTTTCCAAATACAGAGCATTTAGAGAGATAATGTCTAGTAAGCTGCAAGTGTTGAACACCAAGCGACACATTTTTTTGGTTGGGGCTTTCTTTTAAAGAGCACCTCTATGAAAATATGTTTTTTTCTGCTTTTATCTGATGAAATCAATATGGAAGCATCCAAATTGAACACAGTGTCGTTTGTCTTCAGAGCTCAACTATAACAAACTAAAAAGGGCTTTATTTCTGATCATACCAAAAAGCAAATTCTGAATGTAGATAGCGTCATTCAGAGATAACAGAGAAAATGAAGGAAATCCACGCCCTATGTTTGTAGTGGATAAACCCTTGTGCTTGCCAGGCAATGCATGTAGCCATTGTTTTGCATGCACAAGGGTTCATCGACTATGAATACAGGGCGAATACAGTTTTCTCCGAAAGATGCAATCTGCGTTCGGAATTCGCATCTTGGCATGAACAGAAAAAAGCCCTTTTTAGCTTGTTATACATGTAGTTGAGCTCTGAAGACAAATGACACTGCATTCGATTTAGATGCTTCCATGTTTATTTGAACAGATGAAATCAGAGAAAACATGTTTTCCTTTGAGTTGCTCTTTAACTAAGATGTCTGTCATTTACATACACTGTTCTCATCCAAAATGTTGTGTTTTGATCCTTTGTTAGAGTTGTAACATATTTTCAATATTCATTGTTCTGAATTATTTTACATACTGTTCACGTCAAATTTGTATTGGGCAAAACTTGAATAATTGATCAGTTATGAAGTTTTTAGAGGGGACAGTTTGTGTGCTGATCAAAGACTAAAAACAAGTCACACATAACATTATGAACATGTACTTAAAAGTTTAATCCTTTGCATCTAACTAGTAATATCTCATTTTCTTTTTCTTTTGGCCGCTAAAAAGTCACTGAAATCCGAAGGGACACTCAATGAAGCATAACAGTTGTTATGAGAAAGCTAGAAAACAGTTGTTAAGATTCAAAGAGGATCCCAAGGTTTTCACAAATCCAACGAAATAAACAATTGAACACATACATGTATGACACAGTAAATGACTTGTGTTAACTCATGTTAAATACATAACTCAGATAAATTTCTTCAGAAGTTCAGATACCTTTCAATTTCAAAGGTAAAGGGATGATTGTTATTAAACTAGCCGTATGCAAATAACACTTATAAGACAAATATGAATAAATTTATTGTTCTTCTGACACCATTATTATACATCAGGTTTCCGTTCATTTACAAGCTCCCCTCTACCAAATTGACTTGTGCATTATACATGAAAGGCATAGGTTCAAAATACACATACTACCAGCTGTCTGCATGCCCCAATTCAGTACACTGTAATGTGATATATTATGAGTGCATTTGTACTGTTTGGTGTACAATGCCCCAAGTTTTTTNCATGCATACGATAAAATCAACTTTCTTGTAAAGAAATGCAGAATAACTGACATTTCCAAAAAAAACCAAAACAAAACAACAACAAAAAACTGAAGGGAGAATTCCACATTTTTTGGTCAGTCAGCTGAGAGCAACAAATTAATTTTTGGAGGTCCAATTTTCATCTAGAAATATTCAAGCCCATTAGGTCTTTGCACACCTGCCCATGGTGGTGACAGCATCCAAGTGTCAATACACCCTCAGTCTCTGTTGCTGCTGAGGTGTGGTACTCGTGCATGGAGAACATATTAAATATTTTGTCCTAGCTTCCTAAATACCAGTTTACTGACTACCCAGTAACCACAACAAGAAGCAATTAGTAGTAGCTTCTAATCATGGTGGAAGGAACATGCACTATGCTCATACACAGGTTAAATGCGCACACTTTATGCTCCTTCAACCGGGAAGGCTGTGAAAATGTAATAAGCATTTCTTCAATATAGGCATAATGTATGCACAAGCCTGAAGTTA